GCGCGATGGCGGCGGCGCCTCCTTCCTGCGGCCGCCGCTCCCGAGCGCGCGCCCCCTCGCTACTGCGCGTGCCTGGCGCGGGGACCGCTGCAGAGGGATAACGGCCCCCAGGCGCGCGCCGCGAGGGGATGAGCAGCGCGGGACAGCAAGAAGCAACCGCAGCGCGCGCACGCCTGAGGGGCTTGCTGCCGCCGCCGCGGCCTGAGGCAGGGAGCGGGCGCGAAAGGAGCAGTGCGCGTGCGCCCCGAGAAAATGCCGCTACTGCGGCTACTGCGGCGCGAGACTGAGCGCGAGGAGACCCGCGAACGGGCAGAGGGAGCGGGGTGGGCAAGTGCGCGTGCGCATTAGGGGCTGCCAGGCGGCGCGGCTGCTGGCGCAAGGCGGAGGGAGTGGCTCAAGGGAGGCGCGCGCAAAGCGCGCGCCAGAAGCAGTCGATCCTCCGCTCGCGCTGGCTCTGGAAGAAAACAGGAGTGGAGAGGCATGGCCTGGCTCTGGAGGAGACGAAGGGCGCGATCCCGCTCGCGCGGGACCTGACTAGCCAATGGGAGGCAAGGGTAGGTGGGTTTGCCGCGCGAGCCGCAGACCCCCGGATAACGGAGGAAGAGAGGAGAGACGTAACATGGGGCGCTGGGGCGCTGGGGTGGTGGGGCGGGGCTAAAAAGGAGGGAGCGCACCCAGCGAGGAAGTTGATTGGAGAGTACTGGGAGGCGTGGCCTGCCTCAGCCCAATCTAACCCTTGCAATTCGTCGTCCCGGAAGAGGGGGCGGGGCTGGAGAGCGCGTGCTCTTACCCCTGGCAGTGAGTAAAATCTGCAGGCAGCGCGCGCGTTATACAAGTTGTTCATGATTCATCGTTCGCTGCCTGGCGGAGGAGAGACGGCCTAGACCTGCACGCAGTCCTGACCTCCAAATAAGCATTGTCCAAATGACTGCAAGTCAACTGTCAGTTGGACGTCTGGAGGGGAAATAGTGATGAAAGGGCACCTCTGTAAAACTTGATTCCTCTGGACCAAGGAGGTGTTCCTCTGGGATTCCTCCGGAAGTACAGATGGTAGAAAATGAGCTCTCTGGGCCCAGAGTTTGTATTTTGGAACGCATGAAGAAAGGCTAAATTTCCCACTGTATTTTGCCCTTTTCTTTAGTCTCTTCATCTGTAAAATCGGAAACTGTACCTCAGAAGGGTGGCTCCCTGAAACAGCCCAAATTTTACATAAGTATGTATGTGTGTCTTTTTAAATTTTCCATTAGTACATGTTTGAAATATATAATGATTATATTAGTCGTGGATATTTTCGTACACGTGCATACCTGTGGTAAAGTTTAACAGATTAACAACAATAGTAATAAAATAGAACAATTATAACTTCACTGATCTGTAATGAAAATAACGTAATTGCAGACCCTCGCTTGAAAGATTTAAGACAAATAGCAATATTTTCCACCCTACTGATCATCAGCTCCTGAAATTTGGGAAAGCAGAACCAGGGCTAAGTGGTAGAGGACTTCCACAGCGAACTGGAAGCTCTGGCTTCAATCTCCGATCAGGAACATAAAGGTAGGGGATTAAGGTAAGACTATGTGAAGTGCTAAAAATTATGCCTTGCATATAACAAAGTGTTCTGTAAACACTGATAAAATTACATGGGCTCAAGTTTTAAAACATGTTTAAACAAAGCTTTTCAGATTAAAGATTGTTTCCAACGACCTTTTTCGTTTAACATTTATACTTTTTTGTTTTTTTAATTTAACCCTTTTGTTGGACGTGGTGACACACGCCTGTAATCCCGGTGCTTGGGAGGCTGAGGCAGGAGGATTGCCGTGAGTTGGAGGCCAACCTGCACTACATAAGCAAGTTGAAGTCCAACCTGAACTACATATCGAGACCCTGTCTCAAAAAAGTCAAGGTAGGGGGGGCACATGAAGCACTTGAGACATTAACTCCATACTCACAACAACCCTATGGGTTAGTTATAAGTCACAGAGAGGTTAAACAGCTAGGAATGGGTATATCTTAGATTCAAAGCCAGACAAGTCGGGGTCAGGTGATACACACCTATCCTAGCACTCCATCAGTCCTGTGGTGGTGTCACCATTTTATGTGTCGCCTTTTAAGGCTAGAACTCTCGTTAGTTCCCAAGCCTGGCAAATGATATACAATAAATACTTGCTCATGAATAAGTGGCTGAATCCAATGCTAAATAAAAAGAATGGGAGGCACGCGGGGGCGGGGTGGTGGTGCATGGTAGCCAAAAAGACAAAGTCCTTGTCCACCGAATAACTCCTGCCCTTCTTTCAGATGCTAGCTACACAGGTATACCCCTTCGGGAAGGCCTCCCCCAGTCTTCCCCATCCAGGCCCTGGACATGCTGGCTTACTCCAGTCTGGGAATGGGTTTTTCTCTCATCCCGTGAGGGTGAAACACGACTATCTTAGTCATCGATGATGGCCCTAACAAAGGCCCAGGCCCAAGGCGGGGCTCATCAGTGTTTTGTTGAATGGATGGAACATCAAGGAAGGCTTTCCCGGCTCTGCAATTCTTTCCAGCACGCAGGAGGGTGAGTGGAAGCTGAGCCAGCCAGGGACAGGAAGCGGGCTTCCCTCAGGGCGGCCGCCCCCGCCAGCCGCCCCCCCTCACTCCGGATAAATAAACAATCGAGTAAACAATTAGCCGGAAGAGAGGAAGAGAAACGTGCCGAGTGGCAGCTTGGGCCGCTATCAAGATGTCCCAAGCACTGCTGTAGGGCTGGGTCACACCAAGCAGGGAGGTGTGAGGCGGGGAGTTTTGGACCCAGAGCATCGGAGAGATGCACAAGCATAAATAAATAAATAAATAACCTGGTTTAAAAGCTACAAAAGAATTTTGCAGAAAATACCGGAGTGCTGGGACTTACTCTGTCTCGTCTCCTGAGAGTCAAAGAATCAGAGAGGGTGGGGACAGGGTCTACCAGCGACCAAGGAGTCAGTGAGCCCACAGCGCCGCCTACAAACCGATGGGAAAAAGCTACCTCTCAGCTGGAGCCGTCGGGGCCCGCAGCCAGCGTGAACTCTTCTGCCATTGGCCAGAAGCGCAGCCAATCACGAGGGAAGAACGGAGGCGGTGATGCGCGAGTCCACTGCGCAATTTCAACGCTGGCCAGGCGCTTCCCACCTGATGGGCACGCGCTGAGTATTTGCGGGAAGAGCTACAGGTTGAACCTTCTCTATTTTTATTAGCATTCAACATTGAAGTGTGGGCCCGACGTGGTGCTGTACACCTATGATCTCAGCACTTGGTGGCTGAGGCAGGAGGAACCAGACCCTGGCTCAAAGAACCAGAAAAAAAAAATTGATACAGATATTGAGAGGTGCACAGGTCACCAGTGTCACAAAGAGAACACACCCTCTAACCAGAACACTGCCTGACGGATCACTCAAGGCCCCTGTGCCGCCTGCCATTCACTGCCCTTTGCCCCAGGTGAGCCTTACCCTGGCTTCTAGTACCACACCTTGGTTTTGCCTGTTTTGCACTTCGTATGAATGAAATCGTATAGTAGCTACTCTTAGACGTGGCATCTCCCGAAGAACAGTGGGAGAGGCCTCCAGCTTACTGTATGTTAGGGGAGATTCTCATTCATTCTGTCTGTCTATCTGTCTCTCTCTTTCCTCCCTCCCTCCCTCTCTCTCCTTTCTCCCTCTCCTTCCGGGGTCTCACTCTGTAGTCTGGGCTGGCCTTAAATTCCTTGCTGCGTAGGCTGGCCTCAAACTCTGATCTTCCTGCCTCCACCTCGCTAGTGCTGCGATGACAGGCATGTACCACCATCCTTGGTTCAAGATCTTTCATTTTTGTCCTGTTGGCAGGCATGTAGTTAAGAGTGAAAGTGATAATGATAGTCCTTGCATCTTTCCCAAGAAGCTTTCCAGAATGGATGTATCACTTTACTGTTCTACAAGTTGCATACGAATTTTGGTTAAGTAGGGTGTGGAGGTGCACGCCTGTGATCCCAGCACTGGGGAGGCTGAGGCAGGAGGATTGCCACAAGTTTGAGGCCAACCTGGGCTATATGATGAGTTCAGAACGAGCCTAAACTACATAGGGAAAACCTGGCTCAAAAAAATCCAAAATTAAATAAATAAATAAAATTCAGGATGTAGCTCAATGGAAGAGCACTTGCTTAATATGGGGGAGGGAGGTTTCACCTGCTCCTCATTTCCAAAACACTCAGTATTTGTTTTGTTTTTGTTTTTGTCTTTTTGAGACAGGGTCTCACTATACAGTTCAAGCTGGCCTTGAGCTCTGTTTATAGCCCAAGTTGGCCTCAAATTAGCAACAATCCTCCTGCCTCAGCCTCCTGAGTGCTGGGGTTACAGGTGTATGTCACCATGCCTGGCCAAAACACTTAGTATTAACCATCTTTTTAACTTTGGCCATTCAAATGGTTGTCTGATGTGGTTTTAGCTTTCTCAAATGATTAATGAGATGATATATATATATATATATATATACCCCATTTGAGTAGCATCTGTTGTGAAGTTCTTATTCAAATCTTTTGCCTGTTTTCTGTCTGTGTTGTATATCTTTTATTTTTACCTTTTAAAATTTGAGATGGGAATCTTACTGTTTTTCCCAGGGTAGCCACCTACTTAAGATCCTCCTGTCTTGAGCCCCCGGTAGCTGCGATTGCAAGTGTGAGCCATTGCAGCTGACTTTTTTATTTTGTGCCATGCTGGAGATCAAACTCAGGGTCTCACACATGCTAGGCAAGTGTTGTACTTTTGTATTATTACAAAGTAATTGTATTATTGTATTAATACAGCTGTATTAATTGTATTATTGTATTAATGCAATTGTATTAATTGTATTATTACAAAGTTCTTGTCCTTGCAGACTATCTCAAATACTCCAGATAAGATACCATCTGTAGACAATCTAGGTGTATCTCACTGGTTTCTGTAGAGCGTGCTTTGCCCAAGTCCTCGCTCCAGACACGTAGGTAGTGGAACACAGTGCCGAGAGGTGAAGGCTCTGAGCCCATGCGCCTGGCCATGAGGCAGCTCCACAGCTTACACACTATTACCTTGAGCAGAGTAGTCACCCTCTCTGTACCTCATTTTTCTTATCTGTAAAATGATAATGTTAGTACTGACCTTACAGAGTTGTTTGAAGTTCTCATCAGTAATATGCTTAGAAAAATGCCTGGAACATAACAGGCATGGTGATACATACCTATAATCCCAGCACTATGGGAAGCTGAGGCAGGAGGGTTACAAGTTGATGCCCAGCAAGGAAATTTAGCAATTTAGCAAGATCTTGCTTCAAAAAAAAAAAGGTAGACACCAGGCATGGTGGCTCATGCCTATAATCCTAACACTTGGAAGGCTGAGGCAGGAGGATCACCGAGTTTGAGACCAGCCTGGGCTGCATTGTGAGTTCAAAATCCAGCCTGAACTGCATAGCAAGACTCTGTCTAAGAAAAAAGAATTTAAAGGGCAGGGGATATAGCATAGTGTGAAGACCCTGAGTTCAGTCCCTGGTAACAGAGAGAGAGAGAGAGAGAGAGAGAGAGAGAGAGAGAGAGAGAGAGAGAGAGAGAGAGAGAG